GTTCAAGGCGCTGGCGGCCAAGGTCACGTGTGGTCTCGGCGCGGCGCCGGAAGCCATCTCGACGCCGTTCATTACCCCGAGCTGCAACAACGCGCTCTAGTCGGCTCGTCAATCCATGTCGCTAACTGTCTGCTAACTCGAAGTCGAGTTGATGTCTGTTATATTCTGCATACGAACGGTTTACCGTAGCTTCTGGACCAATGGCAGCTGGTGATATCGAGGGCAGCAGTTGCATAGTGCTGCAGATCGCAAACATCCTTTTTTTCAGGTACAAGTCCATTGTGTCTGCCTGCGCAGCCACGGCCCGGCGATGGAATCAAGAAGCCGATCGCTACATATACGAAATCTTTGTAACAACAGGGATCATAATGCGAGAATATGGTTGATAAATAGATATAGAGATAGATATTGTGGCTTGCACAGCGCGTGGCCATTTTTACCTACAGAAACCGGCCATGAGCCATTTAAATGGTAAAGTGGCAATTTATGGCGCAGCCGAAAAAGAAGAGAGAGGGAAAAGATCCTGGATCCTATTTTATCATCGTTTTATTCCGGTGCAGTGTGCGAAGCGGCAAGGGGCAATGCATGGATCAAGAGCTGATGACGCAATCTTACAATTGGCCTCCAAAAGTGGAGGCGCCCAATCACATCCCTGAATTCTAGGTGCCGCCCAATGAAACTGCAGCGGCACCTTCAATTGTACGTGCGTTTATTGGACAAAAAGAGTGAAATAAGTCCCAAGCAGCCAATTGGCAGCGTAGCTAGCGAGTAGGAACTCGGGCCAAACAGCTTGGTTTCAGTATGGTGAGGGTCCAACCACCAACCGCCGTGTCATTCTAATTTGTGCTCCCAACCGTCGCGATGCCAAGCGCGACGAGCACGGCGCTGTCCCCACCAACAACGACGTGAGCAGACGCGTACGTCCCTCGCTCACGCCTCGCCCTCCACGCGCTCGCCTCAACCAATGCGCTCTCGCCTCGCCCTCCACGCGCTCGCCTCAACCAATGCGCTCTCGCCTCGTCATGCCCACGCGCCCAGCTCGTCGAGCGCCTAGCTCGACACGCCCCACACGACTGCCTCGTCATCGGTCCGCGCGACTAGACCTCCTGGTCGTCGTCTCGTCGGCGGCGCGCCCGGCTCATCTTCCAGTCCGTTCAACTTTGTACCGCGACGGTGGCCCAAGACCTCGCCTGCTACACGTGCCTGCTTCAGGGCGGGTCGCTCCTCACCGCGACGGCTACTGCAGCAAGACCGACGGCGGCAGGCGCAACTGCACAATATACGACACGCTCCTACGAGTGCGTTCTCTGTGTCGACTACACGAATTCAAAGCTTCATACGCGCTTTACATTACGCTTAACACATTACGCTTAACACGAAGTAACCCTTGTTGCTTCATGCTTCATCGCACAAACGCATAGTGGCCACACATGCACGCCTACATCGCATCGGTCGGGTCCAACATCGAGCAGCCACACGAAGCAGCTCCGCAGTTGAGGCTGGAGCTCGGCCGCGTAGATAGCGGCGGCTGCAATCTCTCGTTGGCATTCGGCGCCAGCAATGCATCCGTCTGCGCAGTCCAGTGGTTTGTGCGCGGAGGGCTCGATTTGATACCCCGAGTAGGCCCTCCGTTGGCAACGGCTAGCTGCCTCTGCAGCAGCGGCACAGCGCCGATCTCGCGGCCTGGAGCGCCCCGAGGCAATAGAATGCGAAACCCGACCCTTTGGCAATTGATCGGTGGGATCCGTATTTCTTTTCAAGGGTTATAAAGTTCCAATTAAGCAAATGGCTTTTGGCCCACTCGCCCATTCCATGGGTCAATAAAGTGCACATCGCCCAGAAACCATCGATTAGCAGCGATAATCGAACGTTTTAAGGTAAAGTGGCGATTGACCGACCGTTTCTAATGACCGACCGATTTCGACTTTTGGCCAATTAAAACGTTGGAAATTGGAGACGCCGTTTTTCATTGGCTACAATAATAATGATGATTGAAATAAAAAAAGAGCCTCCAAATGGACCCCGCAGTGCATTTTTTTGCAATAATATTGTACGGTCAGAATAATAATTTCCCGGTTGAAGTTGGGAGCACGAGCAGGAGCAGGATGGGTCGCGCGAGCTGACGGAGGGCCACCGTCAGCCTCATTGCTCAACATGCTTCACACACGTTTCACGGTTGACCGTCACCTCGTCGGCAGCAAGAAGATTGCCACAATAGAGCGCAGCTCACCCTTGAGTCTCTCCCAGCTCAAGCGCTACAGTACTAGTATATCAAGATGATGAAGCAAACGGGCGAGATCGTTGTTGTGGAGGAGCAGGCGGTCAACGGCGTGCGGTCGACCCTCGGCACCGAGGCGTGGATGGATCAAGGTACATGAGCTCGCCCGTACCGCGGTGTTTGTTCTACCTCTCAAACCTTCGGCACCGAGGGTACTTGAGCGCCAGCGCCAGCGCACCGCGACGGACTCGACATGGCACGAGTGTGGAGGGAGACCTGGACATTGCGGCCGCGCCGGCGCTGAAGAAAATGAAGTCTGTGACGAAGTCCAAGGAGTATTTATTATAATACGACAGTATTAATATGCGCTGTGCTATTAAAAATAATCGTATTTTAATTGCCGTCTCATCGCTTCCACACAAAAAACGCCGAGCAGCCTTGAGGTAGGAAAATAACGTGATTTAATTCACAGTTTTTTAGAATGCATACAAACAGAAAGTACAAGCCAATCGGTCGGTCAATAGAAACATCCAATTCTGACGCTTTTTCGATGCGTCGGCTTTTAGATTCCCCACAAATCAGGAATCACGCGACGGCGCGAAGGCAAGGGCTCTAAAATACAGAGCAAGCCTTCTTCTTTACTGTGATGCCTTCAGATGTCTCGTAGCTGCATTGGTTGTCGAGAAATATCATTTTGAAGTAAGGCCTCATTTTCGACAAAAAATCGGTCGGTCAATCGCCACTTTACCTTATTGGATAAAATATAAATTCTGGTGGGACCGTCTCCAAAAAAGCATACCGGTATTACTTTTGTACAAATATATGGCGTATATTTGGTAAAATTAGTTACAAAATATACACCATATACATGTATTTGTACAGAAGCAGATGACTGCCCGACATTTTTAGTCATTTGACACCTTGGCCTGCGCCTCAAGCAGGTGCGCTAACCATTGAATAGCGGAGGACAATCGGAAGGTTTGCAATTTCAGAAATGCAAACCTTCCGATTATCCTCCGCTATTCAATGGTTAGTCATCAGGTAGCGCTCCTGCATGCAGCGGTATCGGCCTCGTGCATACAAGCACCAGAGCAACTCGTCTTCGCGTCGCTTTTTGCGGGGTTGTTGCCGACGACTAACCTCCGCCGACGACCAACCTTACGTCGCTCTGTCGTCAAGTGCCTCACGTCGCTCTGTCGTCAAGTGTCTCACGTCGCTCTGTCGTCAAGTGCCTCACGTCGCTCTGTCGTCAAGTGCCTCGCGCCGTCGTCGACTGCAAAGCCATGCTGCGTGCCGTTATCGCGTGGACGTCGACGCTTGCACTCGCGTACAATCCCAATCAACTGGCACTTCGCCCACAATGGACTTGTACCTGAAAAAAGGATGTTTGCGATCTGCAGCACTATGCAACTGCTGCCCTCGATATCACCAGCTGCCATTGGTCCAGAAGCTACGGTAAACCGTTCGTATGCAGAATATAACAGACATCAACTCGACTTCGAGTTAGCAGACAGTTAGCGACATGGATTGACGAGCCGACTAGAGCGCGTTGTTGCAGCTCGGGGTAATGAACGGCGTCGAGATGGCTTCCGGCGCCGCGCCGAGACCACACGTGACCTTGGCCGCCAGCGCCTTGAACGTACCCACGCACGGGTCGACAAAGATGGCGTTCTCCGCCGGCACATTGCACGAAGCCTGGCCCACGCAGAGCTTGGAGAGAACGTCGACACTCGACTTGGCGTTGCACCACCCGTTCGTGTACCCGTTGGGCGTGCCGTACGAGCCATAGTCGACCTTGGTAATGACGTAGCCGTTGGCGCACTCCAGCTTGAGCGTCTGGTGCTCTGCGACGCTGGCCCACGTCTGGTACGAGGGAACCGCCGTACACTCGGCCGTCACCGTGAGGCGCTTGACAGTGCCCACACACGGGTCGCCAAACACGCTACACAAATCCGTGAGCTTAATGACCTACTCCATCACAGTAGCATCCGTACCCGTTGTTGGCGCCGACCGAGCACGACTTTTTGCCGACGCAGCTGGACTCGAGGACATTCGGCGACGAGCCCGCGTAGCACCAGCCGTACGTGGCACCGAGTCCCAACCCGTCGGGGAGACCGTACGAGGCAAAGATGATGCGCGAGATCTGGAGCATGGTGTTGCCGCAGTCCAATGCCAGCGCGCCGTTTTCGGGGACGCTTTGCGTCACGAGCGACGCGCCGGGGGACAAGTAGAGCGACGGTGTCGGCGGGGCGGTCGGTGGCGGCGGCGCGGAGTTGTTGTTGCCCATGGTAGCTTCAGGTGGTGGTGGCCGAGACGCGACAAATGAAATTGTGATCGAAGTCGGCGAGGGCGGACCTTTGTACTTTGATGGTCGCGACCAGACGCGGGCCGATGCATACATTGTCCGAGTCGTGGCAATCTTGGATGGTTTCTCGTATTTTTCGAGATATGCCGGTCTTGGTTTATGTATGAGTCGTCCAATTGTAGTACAATACAAGGTGGTACGATCTTGAATTAGCGATTTTTGGCGAGCATGAGGGATATCAAACACTTGATTACTGATACATGGAGCGAGGTGAATCAACTTTCAAATTGGATCCTGCTTGTGTGCGGATGACGATTGCATAGCAAGATAAGTGTGCTCTGATTGGCCTGCCGTCGTATTGTATATCCTTGCACCTCTCACGAGTAGTTCTCTGCTTCTGTCGTTGCCGATAAGCTGCCCTCGGTGTTTCGCCTGGTGGCTGGACGCACGTGACAGAGGTGACCTTTGACGCGCTCTGTGCAATCGATCTGCAGTTGGATCTCGCATCTGTCACCTCAACTACAAGTTCGATTTCACAATGGCGAGCTTGCTCACGGGGGCAAAGCTCGGTCGAAGGAATTTTCGACACACTCAAGCATGACGTTTGGCGGTGGTGACCAACTCGGTGAGTAAAGTGCAGTGGGCGACAGCGAGCCTCAACTACAGCGCCGAGAAGCAAATCAACGTTGCCGTTGATGGGGCGCTGAGAGTTTCGTCTGCACGGCGCGAAGCCTTGTCGTGTTCCGTCCAAGTGAACGACCTCGATTACAGCATCGTGCAGGCAGCAGCGCACTTTTGCACCAACGGTCCATTGTACAAGGGCGCGACGGTGTTTGAGTTAGCAAGTCATGAAGCAGCCGCGTCCAAGAATTCGCTATCGCAGGTGTCGTACGATGAGTTGCAGTATTGAGAACAACAAAGCGCCCGCGTCGCTAACTCTATTCTCGTCAATATACGTACTGCACAAAGGAAGGAAACCTCTACGAGGGCCAAGACGCCGGATCCTGTTGAAGCTATTGTGCCGATCCGAGTACAGGATATTCGCAGTGTGCAGTGGTGGTGCGTCGACGCGAGCAACGGCAATTCGGACTTCAGAGCGACAAACAGCTTCCTCAAATGCCACTAGCTACGACTGCTGCTTTGGCACCGAGGCCTACCTACGTGGAATTTGTTCACGCCCACAAGTGGTCCGCAGGTGCGTGTTCACAGTGCAGTGTATACCAAATGCAAACCACTGGCGACCCAGTGGCTAGGGCATCCCCATCTCAGTTGGCAGCCCGGTGACTCGGAGAACATTTGGCGAATACCCGCAACATGTTTGGTATCGACAAACCATGTGTAGGTGCGTGCGCACTGTGATCGCGCCAGCCGAGACGTGAGCACGTCGTTGAAACAATCGTTGCTACCCCAAGGTGTACCTGATCGATGGATACGACAACTCGCAGCAGTGGTCTGCCGAGTGGCTCAACTGGGCCGCAAGGTTCGACAGATCAGCTCCCGGCAGCAGGTCCATCATGACTCGTGTAGCTTGGCTCGGTGGTGCTGTTTCTTCTGCAAGCACCGCAACACTTGGCAAGCAATTGCCCCAGACCTTTGATCTAGCAACAGCTACCGCGCAGTCACCTCGAGGTCCCAGACGACTACTACACAGACGAAGCTCACGCGGCGGCTCTCGTTCCTCTCCGTCTGGCCAGAGAACGTACTGCCTCGATCCGGCGACTTCGTCTAGAGAGTGACTCGAAGGGCGGTAGCGGTGCGTAGCCGTCTCCACTTCTTGGCTCCATCCCATTGTACTTGCCTCTTTTGCGCTGAGTCTGTCGAATCGTACAAGCACTCGCTAGTCGAGTGCCGCAACATCAAGACGGTATGGAACGCGTTTACGCTGCTACGTCGCCGTCTTCAGATGCGCCTTCCGCGAACGTTAGTCGGCTATCTCTACTACGAGCCTGCAACCTCGATATCCCAGCACCAATCGACCATCGCGATGCTATGGCCCATCTTACGCGTATGCGTCTGGTTGCTTGAGCGCAACGACCGAGTATTTCGTGCGTCACTCAGCCCGACGCCGCCCAAGTCAAGGCAGCTACGCTAGTCCGCTGCTCCATGCTGCCCGGCGACCCAAAGCTGATCAGCTCGTCGGTCGTTACGTTGACTGTTTCAAGAACCACGGTGTGCGCACTCTCATCTTACGACTTTCTCTCCACAGCTTAGTGATAGGTTGGCACGTTCGACCCAGGTTAATTGATCAACTCATACATAAACCAAGACCGGCATATCTCGAAAAATACGAGAAACCATCCAAGATTGCCACGACTCGGACAATGTATGCATCGGCCCGCGTCTGGTCGCGACCA